TCCTTTCGAAGGGAAGTTGAGGCCCAGACAGGGAAGGTTTTCTTCCAGCATTACATGGTCAGGTCTCCCATGCTGTCCCACTGTGGTCCAGAAGGCCAAATTGGAAACCATCTCTACCCCGGCTCAGACCTGGGGTTCTCGGCCTCAGGTTCAGAAATTCTAGACATTTTACTAATTTGAAATAGTGAGGCTCAGCCCATGTCCCTTATGATGACAGTCAACTTAGACTGGACACCCTTTCCTTAGCATCTTGTCTCCTGTCTGCAACTGGGTCAGTGTAACACACAGCCTCCCCTGGTTTTTGTGAGGAAGAGGCTCAACAGCCCACAGTGAAAGGAAACCTGGGATGCATGTGCCTGTTACTAAAAAGCAGTTCTGCTCTCTACCCTTTTTTGTAACTGCTCTGCTCATGGCAATACTAGACTGTCAGAAGCCTTTGCAGCATTGCTGGATGAACTAACTCTGGAGGGAGCCCCAAGACATAGATTTAGCCTACAGTTTTTTTTGGCTCTGTGATCTTGATTTGTGCCTTGCCCCTCAGTCCTGTGTCCATGATAGAATGAGATGCACTCAGAAGTCCTTCCCACCTTCAATGTTCCCTGAGCCTGCGTTCCACGCCATCCAAAGGATCCCTCTCCAAACAAGAATTTCTTGAAACCATGTGCCCAAAAGAAGAAGAATAAGGCTTCAGGCTACGAACTCCTAGAACCTTGAGCTAAAGATGGGGGAAGGCGTGAGTGTTCTTGGGAGCTTGTAGGGAGAAGCCATCTGGGGACTGTCATGTAGACACATGATACTAATAAATAGTCTGGATGCTTCCTTGGTCCTTTAGAGTTTATAAAGCACGCCCACACCCATTACCTCTGTGACCTCTTCATTCCACAAACATCCATTCTGTGTGTCTGGTGCTGAGTGGGATTGTAGCCAAGAAGGCAAATGGAACGTGGGACCTCTTTGGCCTTCAGGAAATTCTGTGGGAGGAGAAGGGCCTGCAGTCAGGGCTGGGATGGGGCCAGGAGAAGGGGGCGCTCAAGCACGGGCCTGGGCATGGGAGAGAAAGAGGTCTGGAGGTTAGACTTTGAAGGGAGCTGGCCCGTGAGACTGAACAGGGCCAGAATCCATAAGGCTTCACAGGCCTGCTTTAGAGGTAGTTGTCTACCTTGGCTAATGAAAAGGTTGGTGATTCAAATCCACCCAGAGACGCACCAGAATAGCCTAGTGATCTGTCATTGTTGCTTTATGCCTTCGAGTCAACTCATATTGAACAATGACTCTGAACCTTGCCCTTGTCTGAGCCAACCTCACTGTCTCTGACACGCCTGTCCCCATTGCCACAGTCACTGTGTCAGCCTATCTCATCTAGGGTCTTCCTTTTCTGTGCTGACCCTCCACCTTTCCAAGCTTGATGTCCTTCTCTGAGGACTGGTCCCCTCTGGCAACAGGAACAGGCTAGTGATCGTACTTCCCTAGATCAGTTCTAGAAACCTTAATGAGTTCCTCCATCACACACATGAGACCACCACGAGTCAGTCAACTCAACAGCAACTATCTTGGCTCGGCTCTATCCTGAGAGCACAGAGTTCTCAACAACCTGTGAGGGACTTGTACTGTTTGCTCTTACCAATGAAAATACTGAGGCACTGAGAGATTGTTAACTTTACAATGTCACATAGCTAGTAAGTGGTAGAGTGAAAGGTGGAGCAAGGCAGCTGAAACCAGAGGTAGCTAGAGCTGTTGTTGTTGTTGATACATGTCAGCGAGTCAACTATGGCTCATAGCAACCCTATGCACAACAGATATGAACTTTGCCCTGTCCTGAACCAATCTCACTGTTTCCTACATATCTATCCCCATTACTCTAGTTACTGTGTCACTCCATCTCAGCTGGGGTTTTTCTCTCCTGTGCTATCTCTCCACCCTTCCAAGCATGATGTTCTTCTCCAGGGACTAGTTGCTTCTGGCAACACACCCAAAGTATGTGAGACAGAGCTTTCAAATCCTTGCCTCCAAGGAGCAACCTGGCTTCATCCTTTCCAGGACAGACCTGTTTGTTCTTTTGAGAATCCATGGTCTGTTCAATACTCTTCTCTAGAATCACAACTCAAAGGCATCAATTCTATGCCATCTTTAGTCATTATCCAGCTCTCTGATACTTAGAAAGTAATTGTGGAGACCATGGCTTGGATCAGATGCACCTTGGTCTCTAGACTGACATCATTGCTTTTCAGCACTCGGCAGAGGTCCCTGACAGCAGATTTTCCTAATGTAATTTTTCTTTTGATTTCCTGACTGCTGGTGCCAAGAGTATTTGATTGTGGAACTGAACAAGGTGAAATTGTTAACACTCTCAGTCTCTTCTCCATCTATCATGATGCTGCCAGATGGCCCAGTGGTAAAAACCTTTGTTTTTTTGATTTAGAGCTTTTAAGCTCCCCACAGTGCGTGAGGTGGGAGCCCAGTAGAGGCAGGAGCAGAGAGGAGGGTGAGGGACAAGAAGGTATGGAGCAGCAGGAAGTGTCCAGACATGAATAGTGTGCACACACTCTCCTGAGTGCTTGTGGGATGTGTGCCTGGACGGAGGAAGCTGTCAGACCAGGTTCACTAGGTTTTAGCCTATTAACAATGGGCTTAAACACAGCAATGATTGTAAGAACAGTACAACTTCTTTTTTTTTTTACATAAGGACACTATGACTTGGAAAAGACTTGAGGGCACCTAACAGAAACAATTGCCCTGAACCTGCTATGTGATCCAGAGACACTGACACTCCCTCTCAAATACAAGATCCCCACGTCCTCTCTCTGGTATACACCCAGAGACCAAGGCTAGGACCCAGGTTCAAGATGAGGTTGAAAGTGGAAAGGAGAGAAGAGGACAATGGAGGGGCCAACCCTTTCCCTTCAAAAACTTAGTCAATTACAGGAAATTCCCCCAGGGTGCCTCTGGTCAGAGCTTGGTAAAGGATGGTAAGCCCCACCCACCCTGCTTCCTCAGGATCCAGGGGGGACCAGGCTCTCCAGAGACTCTGGCCTTGTTTAGAAAGTGTCTCCCTGGAGCCTGAGTCACCAGGATACTGGGTGGTCTGGGAAACCACAGAGTTACACCATGAAGGGGGTAAAAAGGGGAAATTTAGACTCTGGATGGACTGTACCTCAGCAAGCCAGCCATGTCTATTAGGGAACACCTTGATTTCCCCACTTGCTCACTGAGGAGCTGCAATTGGGAGTCTCAAACCCCTGCAGAGGGGCCACTGCTTAACATCCTAGAGCTATCCAAGGGCCCCTGCAGTGGGCAGGCTGATCATGCCAGCACATTAAGCGGCGGCCCCAAAATGCCAAAGCAAGGCAACCAGGGCTCTCACAGAGAGATGGTTTCTATGCATCCCCTCCTAAGTTCATCCACTCAGGCTCACAGCCTGTTTCCCAAGACCCTCTCCAGTCCAGTTGTGCAAAACCAATCACAGCCAGCACTCATACACAACTCCAGATTAGTGTCTGGGACATGGCCTGTCCCCCACTGGCTTAAAGCTTATTTTCTTCCCCTAGTATGTGAGGGAGCTCTAGTGGCCTCATGGCAAGAAGCTATGCTGAAATCTTGAAGGCACGGAGTTCAAGGCCACCAGCTGCTCTGCAAGAGGAGGGACAATCTCCTCCCATTTGATCACCATAGCTCAGCTATGGGTCACTTTCCATTCAATGTTACACAATAACAGGACGTTTGGACAAAGGATGTAATTTTGAATCACTTAAGTTTTCTCTACCTGTAAAATGGGGAGAATACCCACTGCAGAGAGTCTTGTGCAGGTAGATGAGGTGGTGCAGCAAAGGCAGAAGAGTGATGTGTCGCTTCCAAGACAACACGTGGAAAGATTTGCCTCTCTCTTTGCTGGCTGCAGGGAGGAGAAGCCCTATAGGCCCAGGTGTGACAGCCACCTGCCAACCACCATGTGAGTGAGTGTGCCAAAGAGAACCTTCCAGACCTGATGAAGTATCAGGTAACTTCAGTCCTGCCCCACAGCTTGATGGCAACCTCCCGTGGACCCTGAGAAAATACACTCCGCTCCACCACTCCCTGATGCCCAACCCTCAAGAAACTGTGAGGTAATTCTGTTGATTTAAGCTGCTGGGTTTAGGATAATTATTAGGCAGCCACAGATCTTCTCTGAGCATTGACTTGCTAATGTAAATCTCCAGGAAAGCAGGTGCCCAACATAGGATGCTTCTGATTTATTTGGTCAAGAATTTATTTGGTCAAGTTTCTGAAAGAAACGCTGATCTAATGACACAGCTCTGGTTCTATGATAAGATGAAACATCTAATTTTGTTTTTGTCTTACAGCTAAGCATTTACGCTTTCAAAGCCTCAACTTCTCCCTTTTATAAATTAGAAATAAACCACCTCTGATCATGTCCCTTTCTGGCAGGGGCATGAAGCAGAGGGCCAGTTCTCAGCTATCTGATGGTGGGGCAGAGAAGAGGGAGCTTCACTTTGGGGCTCAGAAGGGTTTTACAGGAGGTAGTCTCAGGTGGGCCCAAGCCCACATTTTTCCTCCCTCAGGTTAGCTCCCTAAAGTGATGAGGAATAATGCTGTCTTCTTAGGTTTTTGCATAGTTCAGAGAAAAGATTCATTGGCCTGTGTCTCCTTCATCAGACTAGAAGCCCCTCCAGGACAAAAATATGCCCTTCCTCTCTTTTCTGTTCATTCTTTACCTGATAAAAGATTGAATTCCCAGCTTAGCATGCCTGATGAGTTAGAAAGGGATCTGGTGTCTCAGGAGTTGGCTAGGGAGTTGCGCTGCTAACCCAAAGGTGCCTATTTGGTGGTTCAAATCCACCAGCAACTCAGAGGGAGAAAGATGGGCAATCTCATTCTCTGAAAACCCGTTGCACGGTCAGCTATGGGCCCAACTCAATGGCAACGAGACAGAGAGAGATGGGTTAGAAAACCCACTGACGCTCTGCAGGTCCCTCTTTATAAAAAGACAGACAGTGTAGGAAAATAAAAATCTATAATGCAAATACTTTATTATCGAGTGGCTGGTATTAGCTTTTTGCCTGGGTTATTGATATTTCAAAAACCATACACCAAACCCAGGCTTTCTTTTTTCCACCTAGCTCTGCTGTATCATTTTCTTTTTTTAAAAAAAACAACAACGAAATAAAATAGAGAAAGGAGGAAAAGAAAGAAAATATATCTGTATTGAAAGAATTATAAGCCAAAGTGCGTCTTGTTCTGTCCATATACACACATTGCACCATACATAAATAATTACATTGTAAAAATGACTCCATAATTACAAGTATAATATATATTTCCATATAATATATAAAACTTTATATTAAATCTAGGTAGATGATATTTGGGGAGGGGGTTTACGTCCGTGGGAGGTGTGTCTCTGGGCGCTGGCCCCTCTTGCAGGGGGTTAGATGGTGGGGTGGCCGCCTCCCCGCTGGCCCTCCGCCTGGGCTATCTGTGGTTGTTGAGGAGGATCTCGAGCCAGCAGGGGCAAGAGGTGATGAACTGTCGGGAGTAGCAGGGCCCCCAGCCCTTGGCAAAGCTGATGCGGACGCTGTTGGGGTCGTAGGGCCCGTCGGCAGCGTCGGGCTCAGGCCCGTGCTGGAGCAGGCCCGAGCGCTCAAAGTCGAACACCTTGATGGAGTAGCCGGGAGGCACCTTGCGCACGACCAGGGCGCGGGCGCCGGGGGCGTCCAGCGTCGGGGAGTTGACGAAGATGGGGTGCTCGCCGCGGTTGTAGGCCCACACGCCGTCGGGCTCCTTGCTGAGCAGGATGCCGAAGCCGATCTTGCTGCGTGTGCGCCGCACCGACTCGCTGCGCTGCTCCAGGTTGAGCTGGCCCAGGCAGAAGCCGCTGCCCTGAGGTAGGTCGTAGAAGATGCTGACGGCCTGGTCGTACACCGCGTAGAGGCGGCCCACTCGCGTCCGGTGCTCCCAGTACGCCACGCTGCACCAGTGGCTCGGCTTCGTGGCATCCGGAGACATGGTGGCGTCTGCAGGGCAAGCACAGGGCACAGGGCGTTACTCGAGGTGGACAAGGGGTGCTAAGACCTGTAAATGAGCCGGGTCTGTCATGTTCACAGGCTTGTGAACACACTGTGTGCCATGCTGCCCTCAAAAATTTACACCAGTGCCACAAATCAAAAGGTATAAATTATTGAATGGAAAAGAGTTTCCTCTGTGTACAGTTCACCTAAATCACAACAAAAAAGTTGGGTTTTTTTAAAAGAAAGAATACACACAGTATTCTCTCCCATGTACAAACACAACCTAACTTTCTCCTACGCACAAATGTACCCTCACACAAAGACGAAATAAATGTATAAACCTACTGGAGCTCTGGTGGCTTGGTGGTAAGAAGCTGCACTGCAATCCTGAACGGTCTTGGTTCAAATCTATCAGCGTCAGCAGAAGGATGGGCAATCTCCTCCTGTGACTGATTGCCTCTGGAAACTGACTGGAGGGTCAGCTATGGGTTGGTTCCAACTCGATGGCACACAACAACAACAACAACAACAACAACAGCTGAGTGCTAGGTGCTGTGGGTACCCAGAACCTTACCCAGCCTCCTGCCCACAAGAATTCCACATCTAGCAGGAGAGACAAGTACAGCACACAGACACACACAGATGCAGAAAACCAATCAAACCCACTGCTGTCCAGTCGGTTAGCTCCCATTCAGCAAATCCTCTAATGGGTTTCTGGGGCTATGAATATTTACCGGAGGAGAAAGCTCATCTTTTTCCATCAGAGTGCCTAGTGAATCCAAACTGCCAACCTTTTGGTTAGGAGCCCTGGATATATTATGCCCTACGCCACCGGAGCTTTCCACACTCTCACTCACTCTGCAACTGGGTTGGAACCAACTCATAGCTAGAGCTCCACTGGGTTTTCAGAGGCTGTAAATCGTATGGGAGAGGACCTATCTATCTCCCCACTCCAAGTCAGAGGTAGATTCGAACCACCAGAAAGATGCCACCTTTGGGTTACTAGTTCTTAGTGTTCACGAACTCCCCGTAGGAATGAGACTCAGCAGAGATAACGGCCTGCCCAAGTTATAATATAAAGTTTGTGAGAAACTGAGGCAGGATTTGAACCCAGTTAGTCTTAAGCTTCAATGTTCTCAGGGGTTAGGAGCTGCATTATCAGCCCAAAAGCAGGATACCAGCAGTCTCCTCCCACGTAATTTACAGCCTCTGAAAACTCACTGGAGGGTCAGCTGAGTCAATTTCGAACTTGATGGCACATCATCATCATCATCATCATAATATGTGTGTATATATAAATGTCTATATGTATGCCTGTATTATTGTATGTATTTATATATAAACTTAAAAAAAAGTTGCTTGAGTGTCACTGAGTTGATTGTGACTCAAAACTACCCCATGTGGAAAAGAGGAAAAGTCCCCCACGGGGTTCTCTAGGCTGTAAGCTTTATGGAAACAAAGCAAGAGGTCTTCAACTCATAGAGCCACTGCATGGGTTCAAACCACCAGTCTTTCAGTTCGCAACTGAACACTTAAGCATTGCCTCGCCGGAGTTCCTTGAGGGTTAAACTATTAGGAGACTAAACCACCTCTTGGCGGTGACTCAAGACGAGGAAGTGGGGAGGAGGGCCAGCCCCCAGGGTCCCTTCCAGCTCGGAATTGTGGGATTCCTGTGGTAGCCTTGTTATATATAAATAAGGCCGCCAACTGCTCCCATCCTCAGCTTTAAACATTACGCCGAGTCTCCCACTGCCCCCTTGAGCTCAATTTCTTGGCAGGAAATAAAGGCTTTCACCAGAACTGCAGCCACCTCAGTGAGAAAGAGGAGCTGAGAGTATCTAAAAGCTGGAAAAGCTGATGTGCAAGGGGCTCTGGAGCTTTCCAGTTCTGAGGTGTGCGCTGTCCTTCTCTGGGCCTGTCACCTCAATGCTCAAGAAAGAGCCTGGAACCACTTCCCACTCCCAACTCTCAGACATCTTTGGAGGTGTCCAAGTTTAACAGTTTCTTAAAACCAGACTTAAGACCAAACACAAGCTGGGGTCCTTCTGGGGGTACCCTCATCCCCACTGCAAGTCTGGACAGTCTGTCAGCTGAATTGCCTACACTGGTCTTTCCATAGAGCTTGCAGCTGTGAGAGGCAGGTAGGCACCACGGCAGCCCAGGGAGGGGATGTGAAATGCCAGGCTGTTCCCACCCAGGCCCCGTCTGAGGGACCACCACACAGAGGGAGACTGTTGTTCTAGCTCAGCTGAGAACAAAGTAAAGCACTTTTTTAAAAAAAAAAAATTTATTTTATTTCATTATTTTGTGTGTGTACCATCAAATCAGATCTGACCGATACAGGAGGAGACTGTTCCTCCTTCTCCAGCAGAGCATCAGGTGGATTAGAACTGTGTACCTCTGAGATTGCAGCGCAGCTTCTTGCCCCTAGGCCACCAGCAAAGTAAAGCACTTTATGGAGCAGTTCCTCCAGAGGCAGCCAATCCGACTCCAACTAAAGCCAAGGAGAAACCCTTCTCACAGCTTCTTGTGGAAGCCTGGCTGAGGGCAGCTGTTGGCCTTCAGCCTTGCTCCGTCTCAATGCGCCTTGGAAGCCAGCTGACAGGGCCCCCACCTGGGACCTAGCATGACAATGAAGGCATGGAGCCAGGGAGAGACCCCCAGATGCTGTAGCCTTGGGCTGAGCTCAGGCCTGATGGGCAGGCCTCTGACCTCTGCCTGGAATTGGGGTCCCAGTCACTGGTCCTCAGGCCTGTCGAGGTAATCAGCCCTCACGCCAGCTCTGGAGGGCACTTCATTCAGCTTCAAGGTTCCCATCCACTCTCTCAGCATCCTAGCTGAGGATGAGCTCTTGACTTACTAGTGCCTTAAGTTACAGCCATAGAGACAGATCTAGCCCTTCAGAGGCAAACAGGCTGTGGACATTAAACCAGACCCAGCAGCCTAAAGCAGCCCCACAACCCTGACATCAACACCTTGAGTAATTGCCCCTTCTGCTCTCATATCCTGGCACCAGTCTTTAAGTCCTAAAGGCCAGGAAAGAAAGAGCTTCCCCTCATCTATTCCAATGCAGTGTTTTCCCATTCTCTGCCCACCCCCCCACCCCCATCTATCTTATTTTATAACAGCGGTGTTATATAGTTTTTGTCCTTTTGTGACAGTTATTTCACTCAACATAATGCCCTCCAGGCTGCCCATGTTGTGCAAAGCTTTATGAGTTCAATGTTTTTCAGTGCTGCATAATATTCCATTGTGTGAATGTACTATAGTTTTCCTGTCAATTTGTTTGTTTGGTGTTTGGGTTGCTTCCATTTCTTTGTTCTTGTGAATAATGCAGCAATAAACATGGGTGTGCATACATCTGTTTGAGGCATGGCCCTGGTCTCTTTAGGGTATATTCCCAGTAATGGAATTGCTAGGTCAACAGGTATATCTGTTTACAACTGTTTAAGAAAGCACCAGATGGACTTCCACAGGTGCCTGTACCATTTAACACTCCTATCAGCAGTGAATAAGAGTTCTAATTTATCCACAATCTCATCAGCCTTTGTTGTTTGTTGTCTTGTTGAACTTTGCTAATGTTGCTGGTTTCAGCAGGTTTTCAGAGGCAGTAGATCACACAGGAGGTGATTGCCTATCCTTCTCCCATGAAGAGACTGGTGGATTCGAACTGCATGCCTTTGGGATACTGTAGCACAGCTTTTTACCACTAGGCCACCAGAGATAAAAAGAAAAAGACAAACAAAATGCACTCCAAGAGTCTGCATCTTCTTCAAATTCTGCTCAGTAGGTGGGGCTATTTGTGCAGGGAGCCTTTAGTAGCACCCTAGGACATAGTCTGCGCCTGCTACCAGGGCAGAAAAGTGGATATGTGAACAGGTGACCCCAGCCACCATGACTGTGGGCTCCCCATCACATATTCAGTCCTAAGGGTCTCCCCACTCACACTTTCCTGCCACATGACCTTTTCCAGGAGGGACACTACTTTGCAATGCAATTTCATAAGGGTTAAAAAACAAAGACAAATTGCATTGGGGAGGTCTGCTGTCAGGGACCTCTCCAGAGTGCTGAGGAGCAATGATGTCAGTCTGAAGAGTAAGGTGCAAATGACCCAGGTCATGTTCTTCATAATTACATGCTATAGCATTAGAGACCTGGACAATGACTAAGGATGACAGAAGAACTGATGCCTTAGAGTTGTGGTGCTGGAGAAGAGTATTTAACACAGCATGGACAGCCAAGAGAACAAGTAAGTCTGTCTTGGAGCGGTGAACCAGGTTTCTCCGTGGAGGCAAGGATTTTGATGCTCTGTCTCACTACTTTGGGCACATGGCGAGAAGGGATCAGTCCTTAGAGAAGGACATCATGCTTGGAAGGGTGGAGGGATGGCACAGAAAGGAAGACCCCGGAAGAGATTAATTTACATGATAACTAGGGTAATGGGATTAGGTGTATCTGAGTCAGTGAGACTGACTGGCTCAGGATAGAGCAGGGTTCAGAGCTGTTGTACATAGGGTCACTCTGAGTCACAGGTGACTTGATGACACATAACAACAACGTTGGCGTCAATGACAGAATAAATCTTATCACAAACAGGCTTATTACTAAAAACTCCAGATCATCTACCATCAGTATAACAAAAGGGTGATTTGACACTGACTGACTAAATAGAAGGATTCAAACTTAGCAAATTTAGATTATAAAAAAGTTTTCTACTCAATAGCTAGCTAGCATTGATTGCACTCAGAAAAAGGGAAATAACAAGAGTTTGCAAGGATGTGAAGAAATCAGAACCTTCATGCGCTGCTGGTGGGGATGTAAAATAGTGCAGCCACTGTGGAAAACAGTGTGGTGATTTCTCGAGCCAGCAATTCCCTTCGAGATGATTCCACTCCTCAGTATACACCCCAAAGAGTAGCAATTGGGAACACAGATACTTGTGCACCAATGTTCATTACAGCACTGTTCACAAGCCAAAGATAACCTACATGACCATCAGCAGATGA